ACCAGAACCATCTGGCCGCATAAACAGTAGTAGACATGGAGGGGCTTCTCACCGTCGTCATATTCCTCCCTGTCCCGGGTGTCGGAGCAGACGACGGACCGCGACACAACTTTAGGCATAGTTCCGAGGAGAAACCCGCAAACTCTGCGCCAAATACGAGTCGCGCGGAAATGACGTCACAAACGCTCCTTGAGCCTTCTCCCTATACTGACGCCGATCACGTGTCACTGGTAGTCACGTGAGCTTCCGGGCTGTCTCATTAGGCTAAGAAGCCCGGGGGCGTCCCCAGTCGCCCAGATCATCCTTTGCCTAGCCTGTTAGCTGGAACTGCTTTGCAATATGCATAATGCAGATTTTAGGTGTGCCTCTATGATTTTAATGGCTATATTCAGGTTGAGTACCTGATGAAGTAGAGACATCTTTTTAAACCTGAGATATAGTTCACATAACATAAGATTCACCCTTTTAAAATGTATAATTCAGTGGGTTTTTAGTTTGTCCACAAAGTTGTACAACCATCACCACTATCTCATTTCAGAACATTTTCATCATCCCCTCAAAAAATCCTATGTGGTTACTAGTCACTCCCCACCTCTTTCCCAGACCCTGGCAACCCCTAATTTACTTTCTGTCTCTATGGATTTGTCTCTTCTGGACATTTCATATGAATGAAATAATACGATATGTGGTTGTTGGTGTCTGGCTTCTTTCACTTAACATAATGCATCCATGTAGTGTGAATCAGTAAAAAGGAACTTCATTCTTTTTTATAGCTGAATAATATATTTTGTTCATTCATCAGTTGATGGACATATGGGTTGTTTCTACTTTTTGGATATAATGACTAATGTTACTTGAACATTGGTGTACAAGTTTTTGTGAGGACATATATTTTTACTTCTCTTTGGTGTATAGGAGTGGAATTGTTGGGTCATATAGTAACTTGATGTTTAACCTTTTGAGGAACTGCCAAGAGTGTTTTCCAAACTGGCTTTACCGTTCCCACCAGGAATCCAAGTAGGGGAAGGGCTTCTGATTTCTTCATGTCCTCACCAGTGATTATTTTTGTCTGTCTTTTTTATCATGGCTATCCAGGTAGGTGTGAAGTGGTATCTCATTGTGGTTTTGATTTCCCTTTCCCTGAAGGCTAATGATATTGAGTACCTTTTTACATGTACTGGTCATTTATGTATCTTCTTTGGAGAAAATGTCTATTCAAACCCTTTGCCCATTTTTAATTGGGTTATTTGTCATTTTATTGTTGAATTGTATGAGTTGTTATATATTCTGAATACTGAACCCTAATCATACGAATGATTTGCAAATAGACGCATCTTAATGATCCTGTTTGCCACAGGTATAAGAGAACATCTTCCACCCTTCCTTTCCCCAACCTAGAAACTCTCCCAGAATGCTTTTTGTGGAGGACAGGATCCTGCAGCCATCCAGAATAAGGACATTGAGACAGTTTTACATCAAATAACTTCAATAACCCAAGTGATGACACCAAAACAGTGGGTTTTTAACAGAATTTACTGAAGATAGCAGGAGCTTATGACTAGAAAATTGACAGGTTGGCTGGAAGAAGTGTAGTCTTCAAGAAACACGAGATGTAAACCGATGGGATTTAAAGTGATCTGCTAGCCTTCAAACAAACATGAGTTAAATAAAGTATAAAAGAAATATCAATGCAAGTCTTAAAGAATCAGTGTTTGCTCCTAGGTCTTAGTCCAATGTCATCACTATGATTCTATGTTATTCAGTATTTATTGATCTTCTACTGTGTGTTAGGCACTGTGCTATATACTGGTTGTATAGTGATCAATTATAAATAATATCACCCCTCATGTGGCTTGGTCTAGTGCAATGGTGGGTAAACTTCTTCCGTAACCCAATAGTGGGTAAACTTCCTCTGTAACTTCTTCTGTAACAGGCTAGAGAGTAAATATTTTAGGCTTTGAGAGCCAAGAGGTAAAATCAAGAATTTAGGTGCTTGTATAACAAGAGAGAAAACAAATTTTCACAAATGTTTCATTGATGGAATTAAAAATATAATAATTGGGTTTTGTAATACAGGTCTACTAATGAGCAGAATGACGTTCTTTGATGGAGAGGGATAACATTTCAAAGTGAGTGTTCCCCATCATCAAAATTGGCTTCAATCTCAATATACCTTTAAAGGTTTTTATTTTTTTTTAAATATATCTTTATTGATTCCAGAGAGAGGAAAGGAAAGGGAGAGAGAGAGAGAGAGAGAGAGAGGAGAGACATCAATGATGAGAGAGTCATTGATCGAGCCCACAACCCGGGCATGTGCCCTGACAGGGAATCAAACCCTGATCGCCTGGATCTTAGGTCGACACTCAACTACTGAGCCACGCCTGGTTGGGCCTCATTTTTACTTTCTAATAAAAGTTTACAACTTGATTTTCCAAAAGAGTCAACAAATTGCATGCACCTGTTAATAAAGGTCTTGAATAATATTTAAAAATCATTTGCAAATATTCCTCTGTTAATACTTATCTGTAATGAGAGTTTGTGTATTTCATCTTTAAAAAAATTTTAACACAGATAAATGCTTCCAAATACTGATATCCACCCACAGCAACTGATTTTAATTGAGCATTTCATTTCTTAGGAGGCATTTAGGAAATTCAATTAGATTCTTCTCTTAGTATTTGCCTTCTAGCCTGTCATTACATTACAGAGTACGCACTTCGAATGGAAATTTAGGTGGAAGCTCCTCAAATGCACAAATTAATTTTGAAATATAGAAATTTCCTTTGCACTTTGCATCAAGGTCTGAAAAATGCGACTGGAACTGTAGTTTGAACTCAGAAAATATGTCTACTGCAAATTTGTGTGGGCATACAAATCTTTATTTTTGTTTCAATTTTTTAGAGCACAGGAAGTGATTAAAATAACTTGACATTACTTTTGATACAAACAATGTTAGTTGTCATTGAAATGAATTTACTGCAGAATAAGTTTCACATATAAGCAGTGTTTTGCCTTGTAATCGTAAGGTAAACTCATTAAAATGATCAAGTCTAGAGGAAAAGCTAGAGGAATAGAATAACCATGGATGGCATTTAAACAACTTACATTTTCTCAAGCTGTGTTCATTTGTCCAACTAAGCCCTTCTCTGCTCCGCACAGATTTGGAACGCGTGTTAGCAGATTCTGCTTCAGGTTGTACTGAACTAGGGTTCTCTTGACTTCTTTGGAAATATTCTAATTTGCAGTTGTCCCACACAGACTACCCATGCAGGCCAATTCTTCCATCCCTCTAAACTCAGCGTTGACTCTGAGTAAACAGCTGAACAGTATTGGAAACATCTGTGAACTCATCAAGAGCCAAGGAAAACCACTTGCTCTGTTTATTTATTTATTTATTTATTTATTTATTTATTTATTTATATTGATTTGAGGGGGGAGGAGAGAGAGAGAGACATCGATTTGTTGTTCCACTTATTTATGCATCATTGGTTGTTTCTTGTCTGTGCCCTGACCGGGGATTGAACCCTCGACCTTGGTGTATCAGGACGATGTCCTAACCAACTGAGTTAACCCGCCAGGGCTGCCCTGTTTTTGTTTTGTTTTTAAATGTGTTTTTTTTTAATGTTTTTTTTTTTAGAATATGTCTTTATTGATTTTTAGAGAGAGAGGAAGGGAAAGAAATAGAGAGATAAAAACATTGATGAGAGAGACGCCTTGTTGACCTCTGCCTCCTGCACGTCTCTCACTGGGGATCGACCCCTGAAACTTGGGCATGTGCCCTGACCAGGAATCGAACTGGTGACCTAGGTTGACGTTCAACCACTGAGCCGCACTGGCTGGGCTGCCCTGTTTGTTTGTTTTTCATTTCTACTGATATCTCTTCCAATGTCCTTAATTCTTTGAGCCACTGTTCTTGTTGAAAGGCTAATAGTCTTTAAAAAGTTTATTTTCCTTGGACACATTTCTTTGGCTTCTGCAGTCAAACACAATTTAATTAACTGACCATCAGTAAACGGCTTTCCTTCCTTGGCTAAGAAATGAGCCACTCAGAAACTCACTTTGGCCACAGCCGCATTTTCATGTTTTATTTTTGTGAAGAATTCTGCTATGATAAGATATTCATTCCATTTTAAGCTTTCTAATTTTTCTAGCCATTGCTCTCCTGTGAGCTGGGAACATTGCAATGAGCGCTCAGTTTGGTAATGTTCATGTATATTGTATTCTTTGAGCAATGCTACAGTATCACTGTTTAATAAACAAGGTGCTTTGACATCTAATTGGATAACCAAGTAATCTACACTTAAAAGCATGATATTCAAAATCCACTTTTATTTTCTTGTTTTGACATGATAGGCATGCACTTTTAATTTTTTTAAATGCCACAATATGGTGATATGCGTGACACTCAAAACGCTGTTGAATTTTAACTGCATCACTGGGATTTGTAGTGGACCAACCAAGAGTGTGAAGTGATGAGAGGACCACATGCGGTCTCTGTCACAGCTACTCAACCCTGCCATTGTAGCACAAAAGCAGTCATTGAAATTTAAATATCATATTGTCTTTATGTGTCATGACATATTATTACATATTCTTCTTCTTTTGATCATTTCCCACCATTTAAAAATATAGCTTGCAGGCTGTAGGGAAAAAGATGGCAGGCTTGATTTGGTGGATGTAGCTGGTTTGATTGAATTCCCATGTGCAACACTGTAGCCATGTGTAGTAGTTTCCTATTGCTACTGTAACAAACTACCTAGTGGCTTAAGAAACATAAATGTATTATCTCACAATTCTGGAGATCAGCAGTCCAAAATCAATCTTGCTGGTCCAAAGTCAAGATGTTAGCAGGGCTGGTTGCTCCTAGAGCCTCCAGGGGAGAGTCCATTCTTTGCCTCTTCCAGCTTCTAGAGGCTGCCCCCATCCCTGGGCTCCTCAGATGGTGGCTGTATCACTCCAGTCTCCGCTTCCATCCTCACATGGCCTCCTCTCTGAATTTGGACTCCTCCTTCCCTCTTATGAGGACCCACATGATTACATCAGGCCTACCATTTTTAATCCTGGATAATCTCCCCATCTCAAGATTCTTAAATTTAACCACATCTCCAAAGTCCGTTTTGCCAATTTAAGGTAATGTATTCACAGGTTCC